AAAATAGCCGGGCGTTGTAGTGGGCACCTGTAGTGAGGCAGGAGAATCGCCTAAGCCCAAGGAGCTGGAGGTTGCTGTGAGCTGTGACTTCACAGTACTCTACTGCGGGTTAATAAGTGAAACGCTGTCTCAAAAAAAAAAAAAAAAATTGGGTGGCGCCTGTGGCTCAGTGAGTAGGGAGCCAGCCCCATATACCAAGGGTGGTGGGTTCAGACCTGGCCCCAGCCAAACTGCAACAACAACAACAAAAAAAGCTGGGCGTTGTGGTGGGTGCCTGTAGTTCCAGCTACTCGGGAGGCTGAGGCAAGAGAATTGTCTAAGCCCAAGAGCTGGAGGTTGCTGTGAGCTGTGATGCCACAGAGCTCTACCGAGGGCGATAAAGTAAGACTGTCTCTAAAAAAAGAAGAAAAGAAAGAAAAGAAAAGGAATATTTTGGGCGGCACCTGTGGCTCAGTGAGTAGGGCGGTGGCCCCATATACCAAGGGTGGTGGGTTCAAACCTGTTCCTGGCTGAACTGCAACAAAAAAACAGCCAGGTGTTGTGGCGGGTACCTGTAGTCTCAGCTACTTGGGAGGCTGAGGCAAGAAAATTGCCTTAGCCCAGGAGATGGAGGTTGCTGTGAGCTGTGATGCCACAGCACTCTATCCAGGGTGATAAAGTGAGATGCTGTCTCTAAAAAAATAAAAATAAATAAATAAAATTAAATTAAGTGCGGTGCCTGTGGTTCAGTGAGTAGGGCACCAGCCCCATATACTGAGGGTGGCAGGTTCGAATCTGGCCCTGGCCAAACTGCAACAAAAAATAGCTGGGTGTTGTGGCGGGCACCTGCAGTCCCAGCTGCTTGGGAGGCTGGGGCAAGAGAATTGCCTAAGCCCAAGAGCTGGAGTTTGCGATGCCACAGCACTCTACCATGGTGATAAAGTGCGACTCTGTCTCTAAAACAAACAAACAAACAAAAGAAATAGTGGCTTTGGCTCAGCGCCTGTAGCTCAGCAGCTAGGGCGCCAGCCACATACACCAGGGCTGGCAGGTTTGAACCTGGCCCCGGGGTTGTCATTGTTGTTTAACAACAACAACAACAAATAGCCAGGCGTTGTGGCGGGCGCCTTTAGTCCTAGCTATTTGGGAGGCTGAGGCAAACTAAGCCCAACAGTTTGAGGTTGCTGTGAGTTGTGATAACACAGCACTCTACTGAGGGCGACGAAGTGAGATTCTGTTTCAAAAAAAGAACAGGCAGACTTGAGCTAGGGTTGGCAAACTATGGCCCTTGGGCCAAATCTGACTCATTGCCTGTTTGTCTCTGGTCAGCAAGCTAAGAAGTGGTTTTTATATTTTAAAATGATTTTTGCAAAACAAAAATAATATTTTGTGATATGTGAAAATTATATGAAATTTAAATCTGTGCCCACTTATAGTTTTACTGGAACCCAGTCACACTGATTCATTTACATGTTGTCTTTCAAGCTATAACAGAGGTGAGTAGTCATGACACAGATAGGATGACCAGCAAAGCCTACAATTTTGTGGGGGGGGGGTTTTGTGTGTGTGAGACAGAGTCTCACTCTGTCAACATGTATAGAGTACTGTGGTGTCATTATAGCTCACAGTGACCTCAAACTCTTGGGCTCAAAATATCCTCTTGCCTCAGCCTCCCAAGTAGCTGGGACTACAGGCACCTGCCATGATGCCCAGCTCGTTTTTCTATTTTTAGTACAGTTGGGGTCTTGCTCTGGCTCAGGCTGGTCTTGAACTCCTGAGCTAAAGCAATCCCCTCACCTCAGCCCCCCAGAGTGCTAGGATTACAAGCGTGAGGCACTGTGGCTGGCCAAAGCCTAAAATATTTATTTGGCCCTTCATGGTAAAAGTTGTCAAACTCTGAACTAGAGGGAAATGGCTTCTGAACCAGCAAAAGAACTTTAATACAGGCATAAGGAAGAACTTCGTGGTGGAGACGTTAACTAAACACCTGGGGGGATTTGGGATTCCCAACTCTGGAGTTAAGAGGATCCCACCTGTCCATGCCCCTTTGCAAATGCAAAAAGGAGGTAGCTAGGGTGCAGAGATGACCCTGAATTTCCAACCACGTGACTTCCCTATTCCCTGTTGGCAGTGATGGTATTGGGGCCTTTCAGCTTCTTCCAGACCTTCTGTGTTTCCACTGCTGATGTCCTGGGGCCATCCTAACCACCCCCCCACCCCCCCACCCCCCGCAACCATAGCAGTGCTGACTTTTCTGCCTGCAGCTGTCCCTTAGGGTTCTATCTCCATGGAGCCAGTACAATCCTGAAACAGCCACCCCACATGAGGTCTATGAAGCACTGCAGGCTGTCTGGTTCAAGTACAAAGCAGCTAGCAGATCTGCTTTCCAGCTAACCTGCTTTGATCTCTTTCAGTTCCCTTCCCCTCCCCTCTCCCCCTGCAAGACTCCCATGCCTGTCAAACTTGAATAGGGAGCGAAGGGCAAGCATATTTGGTTTCTTCTAGATCTGACTGCTTTCCTTGGTGCCTGACCCCTGACCCTGACTGATTTTCCCAGAGTAGAAAACAGCCCTGGCATCCTGTGGGCAGGGACCATGCCAGTGAGTTATTCAGATGGGGAAAGCTTTTGTCATTTGCAACCTAATTTGTCCTGGACTGGAGGGTTGACCAGGAGTACAATGCCAGGTGATGAATTTAAATAGTTCTCCTAAGGTGGCCCCTGGAGCCAGCTCTGTTGGGGCAGATGGTCTGGGTAGGCATCAGGAATCTGGCCTGGTCTGCATCATGGGAGCAACTAGCTTAGATAGAGAGCACCTCAATCTCAGGGGTGCCCCACCTTCCCAGTGGGGCTCTGCTGCGGAACTGTGGGGTGGGTTTGGGGTGCTTGGAACCACTAAATGGAATGCACGGGGGTATACAAGGGCAAGTGTGTATTTTTTTTAGAGTCCACATTTGTGCCAATTACCCCGGGGATAAGCTCTCAGGGCAACTTGAAATTTTGTGTCCAGGACTGGTAAGCAGGACCACAGGGACCTAAGGGACAATATTATTGTTTTCCCCCAAACACTTCATATCTCAAAATATCCACCATCAGAAGGCAGCAACCAATATGCCCAATTCATTTTTTACAAGCAAGCAGGTGCTTAAGGTACATTTTGTTTTGTTATTAAAAACGACACCCCTTTGCCCCGAGAATAATCAGGCAGAGAACAATCAAGTTATTCCAGCCACCATGGAAGGAACTACCGAGGAGTGCGACTTTCCCACTGAAAGCCTTGGAGCGCCTGGAATTCTTAGTTGAGGAGAAAGAAGAAGTGGGCCTTGGAGCTCTATCCCTTGGCTGGGGTCCAGATCCAGGCTCTGCCATATCCTTATTCCTTGGAATCTCTCAGTGGGGTCCCAGCAGCCTTGGCAGGGCTTGTTAGAGGAGCAAAATCCACTGAAACGGAATCTGCATTATGACCAGATCCCTGGTGACTCACATATCTTTAGGTTCAAGTGGCATTTATCTGGGACGCTGAGCAATCGTGTAACTCAACTGTGCCCCAGTGATAATGCTCCTTGAAAAGGTAGTGAGAATTCAATGAGATAATGTGTTCCACAAGCTTAGCACAGCGGTGAGACCGTAGGAGGTGTTCCATGTTCATCTCCTGTTCTTGGGTTCTTCTTTCTGAGAGTTAATATTTCTACTCCACTCTCAAAAAGCTTCCTCTTGGCTTTGAACTTGAAGCTGTTGCAGTGCTGCTGTCAGACAGTAGAGGGCACTCTCGGCGTTGCCGTGGAGAGTCCGGTCAAGCGGGGTGCGCTGGCCGAGTGTGTGCGGACGGTGGGTGCCGGGGTGCTGCTGTCTGGTTCCTGGGCAGGGGCAGCTCGTCCGCCCGATAGGTCCCTCCCTGACACTGAGTGTCTCAAGCGTCAGCCTGCAGCTTTAGCCATCTGGTCCCCCATTTGATCTCCCATTGCTAAATTATAAACCAATCCGCCCGACTTCTCCAAACCTCCCGAGCTCAGTCCCCCGGTGCTGGGGAGGCGCCGCCCGCGGGGCTGCTAGACGTTGATAAATGATCCCTGGTCGCCGTTGGCTGTCTCAGGCTCCACGCAGCGCCCCTTCCTCCGTGTCACCCTGCGGTTCCGGTGGAATTTGGCGTAGCAGCGCAGCCCTGAGCCAAGGGAAGTAAGGGGGTCAGGGACAGTTCACAACCTCCCCTCTGCCTTCCCCGTATCCTCTGCCGTCTTCTCTCACCCTCCTATATTCTGCTGCAGAGGAGCGTAAATGAGACTGGGGGTGTAGGCGGGGTTGGGGGTGGCTGGGGGTGGGAGAGGAATGAACAGATGGAGCAGAGAGAAAATGCCGGGCAGAAACAATATTCGGTATGATACCTAACGGTGCCTATGTGGCGCACATCGGCACAGCACCAAGAGTGAGCCCTGATGTAAACCACGGACCTTAGTTAGCAATAATCCGTATTGATACTGGTTCATCTATCATCACAAATGTAACATGCTAATGCAAGGTGTTAAAAAAAAAAACTGCATGCAGAGGTGAAGGAGGGCATACGAGAGCTCTGTACATTCTGTGCCATTTTGCTGTAAACCTAAAACTGCTCTAAAAATAGTCCACAATAACAAACATTGAGAGGATAAAAGTTCATTAGATTTTTTTTTTAAGTGACTCAGATTCTGCCCTTCTCTATACAACCTCCCATGGCTGACCTTACACTCAAAATAAAACTTCACTTTCTACCTTCTCAGCACACTAAAGCCCTTACTTCAGTATTACACAATTCATCCATGTAGCAAAAAACACTTGTAACCCCCTACATCTATTGGAATAACACACACCCACTTCCTGCTTTGACTTACAAAGCCCTCTGGGACCTGGACCCTGCCACTTGCCTGATGCACCAGTCTCCTCCTTGCTTTCTAACCCCAGCCAATCTTGCTTTTCCTCATATACCAGCCATTTTCTGCCTCAGGACCTTTGCACTTACAGTTCTCATAGCCAAAAATCCGTGCCCCCCCACCCCACCCCCAAGCTCTTTGGACAGTTCCCTCCTTCACAGCCTTTGGGTCTCAAAGACACTCTCCCTGGCCACCCTGTTAAAACAGGTCTATTCTTCCTGGCCCAGCAGTGAGAGGGTCGAGGCTGTGGCTTTCTCCATTACACCGTCGTCCCCTGACACATGTGGGCAGACGTCTTTTCCATTCACTGCCACAGAAGGTCACATCCTCCTGATGGTTGGCATGCCAGTGTGGCCAGAGAAACTTCTGTGTCAGGTTAGGAGTGACCACAGGGAAAGAGAAAATCTCCACTTTAAAAGTCACTTTTGTCGTTGTCAGGAAAGTAAAGGACTGCCTGAGAAGTTTGTGCTGAGGGACCTAGAGTCTATACTTGGTCTGTTCACAGCTCTGAAAGCCCAGTGGCCGCACCAGTGACATTTGGGAGGGGTGAAGGGATTCACGAGCAGGAGTGTTGGTGGCTGCAGAGATCCTTTTGAAACCCTCTACACCCCTGACTGCTGGACTTCAGCACTGGGCTGTGTGTTCAACATTTTGGCATTTCTCAGGAGTCCTTAAGACTGGTTCCCTTAAAGTTTCCTGGAATCCCCAGATCCCTGCAGAGTGAAATCGCCTCCTGGACCAACTTTAACAAGCTGACCATGCTGTGATTTCCACTCTCTATTTTTTTCTGGATATTAAATCTCCAGGAAAGAAGCAAGAATTTTAGTGGGTCCAACCAGTGGGAAAAGGATGGAATGAATGGACAGGTTTGGATGCAGACACGTTTTTCAGATGCCTGGGAAGCAGCAGATACTCCCCCTCCCACCATAGTCCAAGGGAGAAAGGAAGGACTCCTAGGCAGAGGGGCCATCCACTGAGCCACCCACATTCTCCTCGCCCAGACTGGCCTGGATTCCCCTGGACTTAAGTCCCCTCCTGCCTGTTGTGTGCCTCAGTCTCCTCCTCTGTGAAATGGGACCGTAACACGACACACAGGTAATGGCATCTTACATAAGGTGGTTCCCAGCATCCCCTGCCCCACCTGCCTCCGTCCTTGCTCACTGAGAGGTGAGTTCTCCCAGGTGGGGGAACTCGGGTGGTTCTCTTAGTCCCCACTTCTGGCCTCCACAGTCCTGCAGCCAGAGTGAACTTTTAAATTCATAGATCAGACCATATCACTTCTCTGCTTCAAACCCGCTGAGGATATCTAATTGCAAACAAAACAAAATCCAAACAAGGCCCACAAGGTCCTATGTGATCCTTCCAGAAGCTTCTCCCCATTCCTCTTGTACCATCTTCCCCATGGTCACCACGTGCCATGCTAGGCTTGTTCCTGTCCAGGGGTCCTTGTCCCTGCTCCCCGATCTTCAGCCCAGTCCTGTCCCTGCTTTCTGAAACGGCTCCAAGACTCATGATCCTGGTGTCTGCTTTAGAGCCTGTTTTACTGTCTAAAGACACACTGTCTCCTTGTTTGCTTTTTCTGCTCATCTGACTAGTATGCAATCCATGGGTGTAGACCCTTCCAGTTCTTGTCACCACTGATCGCCCATGTCCCAGGGTAACACCTGACACATGATAAATGTCTGGCACTTGATAAATGTTTGTTAACTGAATAGAAGAGTGAATAATCAGAACCAAAGAAGCTTATTGCTTTCACAGCAGATAATTTTTCAGGGTAATGTAAGCAAAATGGGGCCCGTAACTCCTGTCAATCGAGGGCCGAGACCAAATTCTCCTGCTTGTGAGATGGGAATGCTGATCGGATATTGGATGGTTTCGAGGACTTAGTGTTCGTTTTTGGCATTCTGTTTTTAAAAGGACTGCTTATTTTTCGGAACCCTTTTATATGTTAAGATATTCGCAGACATAATATCTGCTTCCAAATCATATTGGAAGGAGGGAAGCAAGTGAGGAACAACACAGACTGGCCGTGAGTTGGTCATTATGAAGTGCGAGAAAGTAGGGGTGCGTTATATTATTCCAACTGCTTCAGCACATATTCCTATTGGAACTTTTTCAGAATACAAAGTTGAAAGTCATGTAAGCTTTTAAGTCATTTGTGCCTCAGTTTGCTTATTCATAAAGTCGGGATCATAACAGCTCCCTTCCAGGGGCATTTGTGAGGATTCTGGGGGACAGAGTGCTTGGCATAGAGCTGGCACCCCTGGGTGAGGCAGAAGCTCCGAGGAGTTAAAGAGGCAACCGACCAGATGCATCCTTCCCTGGGATGGTGCTGGGAAACCCACCCCCACCCCCTGTTATCGCACTTGGATGTCTCCCCTGGGATAGAATTCCAGTGTGAAAGCACAGCCTTCTCAGGTCGGATCTTATTTAAAGAGATACACTCCTGTCTCCTCCCTTCTCCCTCCTGCAGATCACAAGAGATCATCACACCAGCTTGTATTTTCTCAAGAGGCGAGAAAAGCAAATCTTGGAAATGGTGCCAGGAATTGAGACTAAATGAGTTCACAGATTGGGGAGGCACTGTGCAAAGCTGTTCCTGCTCATGTCCTCAGCTCCCGAGGGACTCTCCTACCCACTCCTCTGCTGGGAAATCTTGTCCCCCCATCACTGGGGAACCAGCTTGGACAAAGGGAGATCTCTGTAGTACCTGGAGCATGAAGAGCCCCCCACAGAGGAGTCCAGACTCACCCTCCACACACATGCAGTCATCAAAGCATTTGTTGTTGAGGCCTCGATTGTGGGGGGTGCAGAGATGTTCCCGCAGGTCACAGCAGGTCCCTGCCGACACAGCAATCACAGTGGTCAGCCAAGCTGAGCAGCACTCCCGCCCCACAGCCCTGCCCTTGGTCCCACTGGATGGGAGATCCATCATTGCTGTGGCAGGCTGTGTCCCCGCAAGTGCAGGGGCCATCTGGTGTGTAAGGCTGCGATCCAGAACCACTGAGGATATCATAGCTGGGGCCCCCAGGGGCAGGCAGCAGAGACCCCAACTGTCCCAGATGGGCAATTGATTGATTGTAGAAAGAGTGAGGGTGGTGTGGGGTCACCTCCCAGGGACAGCGGGAGGAATAGCTGGGGACTACCAGATCTGGAGCCAGCTCAGAGCTGGGAGGGGCCTCAGGATCACTGATACCAACGTCCTTCTTTGACAGATGGGGAAACTGAAGCCCCAGGCAGCCGCAGGATTGTCCCAGCCAGGCCCAAGGCATGGCCTCGCTCACCACGGGGTCAGCTCTGAGTGACTGTCCAACTGGCCCAGACTCAAGCCTTTTTTTTGTGCTCAGGGTGAAAACAATGGTTTGGAAAAGAACCAGCCTGTCAGGGAGCTGGTGGTTCTGGCTTACATAATGCAAATTGCTGGTTTGGTTGCTGTTTTGTAGAATATTCTGGCTGCTGTGGTGTGCCATGCTACTCAGGTCTCTCCTCAGCAAAGCGCTTGCTATTCAGATGGCTGACAGCCTCCAGCAGCGAGCACCTGCAGAGGCCACCTGGCCCCGTGACACCCAGTCCCCAGCAGCCCCCACCAGTGACTAGCATGCGTGGTTCCAGGGCCTGGCTGTTCCTGCCCAGCCCGGAGCTCTGGCTGAGACTCTGCATCATAGTGGGCAGCTTCCTCTGCCTTTTCTCTTTCATAGGCATCACCCCCACCCCCCAAATAAACCACTTCCACTTCTAACTTCCCTTAGTGTCTGCTCCATGGAGGGGCCAGTGGACCCAACAAGGGCCAGCAGCCTAGGGCACTAGTCAAAGCATCAAGCCCCCGTTTTCAGATTGTCTTGACAGTGAGGATGTCAAAAGCACCCCTAGATAGTCTGGCAGCACCCTGATGGTTTAAACCCTGCCAGGTGTTGGGACAAAAGATAGCAAGAGAGGATCACTCTGATTCAAGGCAGCAGTGGCCACAGTTCAGAGGCTTGGAACCAGGCTGACTCATGTTTGAGCCACTTCCTAGCTGTGTGACCTACTTAGCCTCTCTGAGGCACAACTGTCTTGCCTGAAAATGGTGGACAACAGTGTCTCTTTCTCTGTTGTGAATAATGTATTAAATGAATTCATGTGTGACAGCAACTCTCAGGAAAGTGGTCACTGCTATTATTATTATTTATCACCAGCAAAGGGTCATGGACCCTCAGGCCCTGCTCAGGGACCCCCTGGGACCCCCACCCAGGTTTCCTCCCAACACCCATCCTGGAATGTGGTGCCGGATGGTACCTGGCAGGCAATCTTGGTGATGGTCACATGGCTCCCCTTTAGCTGGTGACGTTTCATTACCATCAGTGGAGAGTTTGCCCCGGTGTTTCTCTGGGAACAAGAAGGTCTGTGGTCAGAAGTCGAGCGGACTCTGGTAGGCTGAGGTGGGTGGATCGTTTGAGCTGAGGCGTTTGAGACCAGCCTGACCAAGAGTGAGACCCCATCTCTACTAAAAATAGAAAAACTCGCTGGGTGTTGTGGCAGGCACCTTGTAGTCCCAGTTACTTGGGAGACTGAGGCAAGAGGATCGCTTGAGCCCAAGAGTTTGAGGGTGCTCTGAGCTATGATGCCATGGCACTTTATCCAGAGCAATGGAGTGAGACTCTGTCTCCAAAAAAAATAAGTTGAGCAGAGCAGAGTGCCCATACTGCCACTCCCACAGTGTGGCTGGGATCAGGCGCTATGCCTCTTGCTCTTTGCCTTGGCTTTTTCTTCTCTAAAATGGGATCAACAGTAGCTCAGACAAATGGATGCTTACCCTCAGGGTAAAATGAGTTGACACGTGGAAAGCTTTGCCACCTAATCAGCACTTGACAGCATTTTCCACTGTGTCAGTTCTAGTTTAGACTTGACGATTCCCCACCTTTGGACATCTGTAGGTCAGACTGAGCTCACCGGGGCCTCTTCCCCTGCGGATGGTGGGGGAGGAAGGGGAGCAATGGGGCAGGTGGGTGTACCTCTCTTCTTTGCAGAGGGCCAGACATCGGGTTTTAAATCTTCATAATCAGTCCAGTCGAACAAGGCCATGTCCAGGGTGGGCATCACCTCCCCCTCAGGCCTGGGCTGTGCCTGCAGAAGTGGGTGGAGAGGGGGAATGTGGAACCTTCCAATGGATGGGAGCAGGAGTGTGGGGTCCCAGGGCCAGAGGGCAAAGGAGGGGCCCCTCAAAGGCCTCCTCACCCTCTGCTGGATAGTCTGGAAGTCTAGCCCAAGGACACTGAGATGACTGAAGCTCCCGCTCCAGCCGCCACTGTGGCACTTTTCTCATTGTGTAGCCACCACCGGAGTGGGTGTGCCTGAAGGCAGCCGGTGCAGACACAGCCGGGGTGCGGGGGGAGGAGGGCTCAGTAGGTAATCTTGCCACTCAACATTTCCAAGCCCATGAGGAGGGAATCAGAAGTAGAATTCCGAATTCCAAGCCCATGAGTAGGGAATTAGAATCTACTCACTCTCCCGTCCCTTCCTCTCGCTGTAGAAGTTACCAGCTCTCTGTGGCACTGTCAAGGCCACGGCCAAGCCTCAGTCCCACTCACGGTCCCAGCTAGTGGCCTCAGGAATGCTGAGGGCCAGAGACTATGGCTGGAACTGCACATCCAGATAACGATGTCATCTGGGAGATGGTCCACAGCTTTTATGAGAATCTCAAAGAGGGTATAAAATCCAGAAAGAGGAGAGGAAAAATCTATCGCTAAGGGAAGTTTTATTTCTTTTCAGTGTATAGTATCTTGTACATACATAAATATATACTATCGATCCTCTTAAATGATTTTATTTTAAAAAAATTCGAAGCTACAGAAAAGGCACAAGAATGATGCTGTTAACTCCTATGTACCCTTCTTCTAGAGTCCCCAGGGGGTGTGTTTTTGCTGCTGTGGCTTTGCTAACTCTCTCTCCATATGTCTTTTTTAAAGATCTGGGGTTAACCAATGCTTGCTCATTCCGGGGCATCGTTCATAACGTCACCATTATTATGTTCTGTACTTTTCTGTACCTATAACGTCCTTCCTCAAGTGTCTCTCAGCTCTCCATAGAGACCGGTGTGCTGAGCTGCTTCCTTGACTGTCCCCAGAGGGAGCCCCCAGGACCACTTTCTCCTTGACCGTGGCAACCCTTTCTCAGGATGCAGCAGCCACCTGGGCTGGACAGGCCTCAGGAGATCTGGTTCCACTGTAAGCCCAGGGGCTTCCTGCTCCTGTGCCTCAGGACCTAAAAGGGGTTTGCACGACATGATTTCAAGACCCTTTCAGCTCCAAGGCTGTTCTGGGATCCCTTACCTGGGGCCTCAGCGAGGTGACAGGCAGGATCAGGGACTCTTCTGTGGCAGGGGCTGCCTCCAAGGTGGTGAGAAAGAGCATGGTGGGGGCCAGGCTGGTAGAAGATTCCTCCATTGTGGCCTCTAGCACCTGGGCTTCAGAGAGCTCCGCCTTCTTCATCAGGGAGCTGGGACCTCGCACCAAGGCTCGGCCTGAGACATGGGGCAAGAAGCACAGGGGGTTTATCTTGTCACCTCACGGCTGCCTACAGTAGAACCCACATTTTCTGCTGTGAATCAGGGGGCAGCCTGACAAGCCCTTGGTTTAATCAATATTCCTGCTTGCCCACCCTCCCAGGGAGGTGGAAACGGAGAACTCAAGTGGGCAAATGTCTTGGATGAACTCACAGTATTGTTGGGGAAGTGGCCCAAGGATTCTCCCTGTAAGGAAGCATTCCAGGAAGTTCAAATCTGGGTTGGCTGGGTGCAGCCAGGCCTATAAGTGTTACAAATGGATTAACCATGGAGGGCTTCCTGGAGGAGGTGAAGTTTGAGTAGGGAGCAAAGCAATGGGGCCAAGAGACATTGCAGGGGGAAGAGGCCTTTGAGAAAGCTGGGAGCTCAAAGATGGGAGCCACAGCTCATTTACATACAGTTGAGTGCTTCCTACATGGTGATAATTAGTCATTATTGAGCACCTGCTGTGTGCTGGGCCACAGATGAGCAGCTTTGCAAGCGCCGTTTCATTTAACCTTTGCAGGAGCCCTAGGAAGTGGGTGCTCCTTCAGCCTCAACTACAGGGGAGGAAACTTAAGCACAGAGATGGTAGGCGACTTGTCCAAGAACACCTAGCTCATGAGTTGAAGACCTTGGATTTGAACCCAGGTCCATCTGACCTTTTTAATAACTGACACTGCCTTCTTTTTTTTTTGCAATTTTTGGCTGGGGCTGGGTTTGAACCCACCACCTCCAGCATGTGGGGCCAGTGCCCTATTCCCTGAGCTACAGGCATCGCCTGACACTGCCTTCTTAAATACATGAGCATGGGGTAGGGTAAGTGTAAGAGGGAAGGTGTGCAGGGTTGGGAGGGGGTCATGAACAAAGGCACTTGGAGAGAAGCTTGAGGGCCCAGGCTCATCCTTGTCTCTGTTTCTCAGGCAACACTCAGCTAGCTGTAAAGTTAGGTGAGTAGAAAAGGGACTCTGGGACCACTGAATCCATCCCACTGATTTTGCAGAAAAGGAAACTGAGGCTCAGTTGGCTGGAGGTTTCACGTCTGGTCTCCAGCACAGCAGGGTCCTAACATGCAACCCTTTGTCCCTTGCCTCCTGTCCACCAAACCAATCCTCCCAGAAGGGCCCCACTGTTCCACTGGAGTCCAGCTGGGATGAGTCCATGTCCCAGGTGCGGCCTCCACAGTGTCCTCACTCTGACACAGATGACCTCCAGGGTAGAAGGCTGAAAATTAAAGCTGGGGGCCCCAGCTGGGTTCTGCCTCCTCGGGAGGTGTTGGTAGGTCTGGCAGGAAGCCAGCCCCAGCAGTTTGCAGGGGAAGGCGAGCTCCATCTCACTCCTGCCAAAGAAACAGTCTCCCCACAACACAGCCACCATGTTTGTGGCACTTGGTGTGCCCCTAGAGGCAGTCTTGTCCCATGAAGAGACTTACAAGCTGAGTTGCCTGTGTGGGCTCAGGGCCAGTGAGGCTGGAGAAGAGCCCTCTGGGTGGTGCTGGCGGATGGGTTTGTTCAGAGATTAAATGGGCCGGGGAAGGAGACACTCGGGCCAGAGTGGCTGGGTGGCTCACAGGCTGACTTAGGGAGATGATTACTGATAAGACTGAGCTTCGATTGCTACATAGTCTTCTCCTCTCACGTCCACCCAAGTTTCTCTCTGCCTCCTCCCCTTCCCAGATGCCTCAGAATTTAGTGAGACCCCTGCTGTCCTTTGGACATCCTCCCAGGGACTTCATACCACTGACCCTTCCCTCCAGCTACCTTGGTGCAGTTTCAGTCTGTCTCTGCGTCTCTTGTGCTCCCTGCCACGTTTCTTGGCCCTCTCCCACCCTGGAGGTTGATTCTCTCTCTCAGGGTAGGGCAATGCCAGCCCCAGGAGCAGGTCCTTGTCCCGCAGCAGACCCGCAGGACCCTGCCCAGGTGGCAGCCCCTTGGTCCCTGGCATCCCGGAGGTCTGCCTGGTAGCAGTGACCACAGCTCCATCCTGGGCCTGTCTGGGCATGCCTGGGCCCCGCTCCTTCTTGCCCAGACCGCGCCGGTGGTGGTGGCTGGCTTGAGGCGTCCACAGTGCTGGGCCCAGGAGGTCGATGTGATTCTCAGGGAGGTTCCGGGAAGGAGTTCCAGGTGCAAAGGAGCCTGCCAGGCTTAGCTCCAGGAGCACGAGGAGGATAACGGACAGCATGGGCCCAGTCATTTGCTCCTCCCTGCAAGAAAAGCAGCTCTGTGATAGGGCAGCATCTTAATCCCTTCTCTGCCACACAGTCCCAGGCCCCTCTCTCACGTCCTCATAGCCCAGTTTTCTCAACAGGGATGAAAGGGCCCTCCCCACCCAGGGAATCTTGTTAATGCCTGGAAAAAAATATATATTTTTTTGAGACAGACTCCCATTTTGTTGCCCTCAGTATTAATGCTATGGTATCATAGCTCACAGCAACCTCAAAGTCTTGCCTCAGCCTCCTAAGTAGCTGGGACTACTACAGACACCTGCCACAACACCTGACTATTTTTAGAGATGGGGTCTGGCTCTTGCTCAAGCTGGTCTCTAACTCTTGAGCTCAGGCAATCCACCTGCCTTGGCCTCTAGGGTTACAGGTATGAGCAATACGCCCAGCCTGGAAAACTTTTTTAGCTACCAAAGTTGGGGGGCGGGCCAGACCTGGTGGCTCAAGCCTGTAAACCTAGCACTCTGGGAGGCTGAGGCTAGTGGATTGCCCTGAGCTCACAGGTTCAAGACCAGCCTGAGCAAGAGCGAGACCCTGTCTCTAAAAAAATAGCTGGGCATTGCGGCAAGCACCTGTAGTGCCAGCCACTTGGAAGGCTGAGCCAAGAGAATCACTTAAGCCCAAGAGTTGGAGGTTGCTGTGAGCTATGATGCCATGGTACTCTACCAAGGTTGACAAAGTGAGACTCTGTCTCAAAAAAAAAAAAAGTGGGGGATGCCTCTGGCATCTGGTGGGTGGAGGCAGGGATTCTGCTAAGTGCCCTAAGTGTGTAGGGCAGGCCTACAGCAAAGAATCACTTGGCCCAAAAGATACCCAGGCTGAAGTGAGAGAATTCCTGGCTTAAATCATTTAAGCAACATCCAGGTTCCAGATTGGTCTAGAATTCCTTTCTCTGCAGAAACTTTTGCCTTTTGCCAAGTCCCCTGGAAAGGAGTCCTTCAGAGCTCAGAAGCAGCCTCTAGTCCCTGAGATTTGACTCAAAGCTTAAATTCAAACAAATGGAATAATAGCATTTGAGCACACGCTGTACGCAGGAATTGCGTTAAGTGCTTCGTGTGAATATATATCACTTCACCCTTTCAACAGCTCTCTGAAACTGCCCCCGTTATTTTCTCTATTTTTCTGAAGCAGCAATTATGGCTCAGGGGGTTAAGTTACACCTGTTAAGTGGTGCTGTGTCATCCCTGTCCGGCCCTCTCCTTGTCACTTTGCCTCCTCCTCCCACAATGAGTGCTGAGGCCCCAGGATGTTCTGTCCCTGCCAGGGCTGAGGGGCTTTGGGCATGGCTTTGCAGACTTGGTTCTGATGCCTGCAGGGCGAAGTGAGCAGCCTGCCCACCCTTAGGACAGCCCCTGCTTCCCTCGCAGAAGTGGAGCCTCCTGGGGGGGCTGGTGCCTTCCCTTCATAGCCTGAGGAAGGAGCAGCAGCTGGGGGTGGTGGTGGGGGTGTCTATCAGACTCTGGACATGCCCCCCACCTGCAGCCCCTCCCTCCCCTCCACTGCACCTGCCTCACTGAGTCCAGACAAGCTGACACCAGGTTAGCCAAGCTGATTGAATTTTGATGTCCTCCCCAGGCCTCCGAGTATTCCATTAGGCTCACAGAGGTGCTTACGCCGCTGTTTCTTTGTGATTTGTGGCTGTATAATTGCCCAGGGCTGCGGGAAGCTTGGACAGCCGGTGAAGACGCCCTGATTTCCAGCATCTCTCCTTTTGCCAGCCTCAGTCCTATGGCCCCCACACCAGCCGGCCTGTCCCAAGTTCGCCTTAGCTGACACTGAGGGAGGCTAGAGGGCAGGGAAGATGCCCCCCGGGGGAGGAAGGAAACACTTCCCCTGCTTCTTTGGGTCTGTGGACCCCTCCCTGGGAGCCTAGGCCCTACCCTCCACTGCCCCGGCTTAGCTATCCCTGAGCCATAGGCTGAGATAACCAAGTGGTTCATTATTTTCCATCTTGTCCCTGATCACGGGGGCTGCCTGAAGACCCTGGGTGAATAGTGGTGAGGGGTGTGGGACACAATATGGGATGGACATGTGACAACCCTGTCTCTCCAACACACACACACACACACACACACACACACACACACGTATCCATTCCTAAGACTGTAGGCTCTGCAGCCCTCGCCTGTGTTCCCGGATTCCTGAGGCAGCTGGTGGGGAGGAGAGGCATATTTTAAAGGCCTGTCACTCAAGCATTGTTTGGCTCAGAGGGACTCCTCAGCCCTGTTTCAGGGCCAGTGGCAGAGCGGGGGCTACTCTGCAGGTTGGCATTTTGCCCAATCCTCTGCGCTCCCTGTGGCGGGAAAGGCTCTGGGTCCCTGTCGGATGCTGCCTATGGCCAAGGTTCAGCCAGCCTTGCCTTTCTATCTCTTGGGGCCACTGATAGCCTGAGAGGACCCCATAGAGCACCCCTGTGACAGGGAAGCTTCAGACATTGGCCAGCGAATAGCATCACCTCCCCACTCATCTTGGGCGTCAAGAAGAATAAGGCAGAAAACTCAGAAAGTGCAGGTGAGTGGGCAGATGAGGCTTGGCTGAGAGGTGGGCAGCCCCTCAGGCAGCTCATTGTCCTCAGGGACACACAGGAGGCCATCAGTGATGCTCCGAGTCAGCCTCTGCTGGGTTTAGAGGACAGCTCCTTCCCTGCAGAGCCAGAAGATGAAGCCCTCGTGCTCCACCACCACCAAGCATTGTGAGCCCACCAGGCCTGCCATCTTCCCAGCCCCACTGCCAAACCCTTATTTGTGGGTTTGTTCAGATGCACAGGGACACCCACTTTGATGCCATCTTTCTTCCCTACCCACTTCATGCCACATGAGTTATGGCAAGCAGCCAGCTGGGGCAGAGGAGGCAGGGACTTCAGGGCAGTGCAATGCACCCTGTGGGGCGCCATCCCTCTCCACAGATCCAGGTTCTGTTGCCCCACATTGCTTTGATAGCACCTGCTCAGAACTGTCCATGGCTCCCTATGATCTTCCCATTAACCACAGACTCCTCACTTTGGCACTTAAGACCTTGTATAATGTGACCCCAACCGAGCCTGACAGCTCTGACTTCTACTTCCCTCCCTTCACAGCCAATACAGACTGCTGGCCTCGAAAAACACCCCATCCTTCCTGTCTCTCTGTTCTCACTTAGGCTGTTCCCTCTGCCATCCAAAGCCTGCCCATCCTTTAGGATCATCCCAAATGTCCCCTCCTCTAGGAAGCCTTGGGCAGTCCCCAACTCAATGTGATTCCCTCTGGGTACTGCCATGTGGGTTTTATCCAGATCTTCAAGACCTCTTGTATCATTCTGTACTGGGACTCTCAGCTTTTAAATCTCCTGCTGGACTGGATGCTCCTCGGGGACTCTGCCCCAGTCTTCCCTGTGCTACAGTAGAATGTACAGGACCCTGCACACAATAGGCACTCATAACTGTGGATCAGAAAATCATACACAGATCCCAGGATGTGTGTGTGAGCTGGAAAAGGGGCTGGAGGAAGACGCACGGACCCCCTTCTCCAAGCCCAGGGATTTGTAGACAGATCTTGGCAGAGCCCAGCAGCTGAGATGCCAACCTGGCAGAGAGCCATCTGGGAAACGTGGGCTGCTACAGAAGCCCAGCCAAGGATCCACAGTGATGAAGGCTTCCAATCTCTTTCTGTCACTTTGGAAGCCAGTTGGAGGTTGTGTTACAAAGCACCAGGCATCCAGGGAAGGGGAGGCAGCCCTCCCGTCAGCCCTGGGTGGTTCTGCCCCTGCTTGTTCACAAAGCTGCTCTCTGGGCCTGGGTCTACCTAACCACCCCCGACCCCCAGGACTGAGGACAGTCAACAGCCTGGAGTTGCCCTGGACAAGTTGTTGAGGGGCATCAGCAACATCACAACCCAGAGGCCGTGTGAATCACTAAAAACAAAACAAAGCAAAGCAAAAGCAATCGTAATAACAGGCCCTTATGAGCTTATTTTGTCCCTGTCTTTAGCTCCTCTCAAACGCCCTGCACGTTGGGTAGAGTTTTCCGTGTTTTTAAAATGAGGGAAGTGAGGCTGGGGTGGGCTGGTAAGCCACCGGTCTAAGATGATGTAACTGGTGAGAGGGGAAGCCCACCTCAAGGCCTGGGTGCACCCAGTGCCCAGCAGATACTGTCCTCGTTCCCATCACCCGGGGGGTCATCTGCCTCCCCCACAACATCGCCTGTCATTGCTGTGAGAGGCGTCTTCATCCTTGAGTGTGGTCAGGGGAAAAGGAAACTGAGGAGGGAGAGGTTAGGGGCTTATCTCCTGTCCCCATCCAGCCCCCACCCTGCCACAGGAGGGAGAGAGCTGCCTGCCTGAGCTGTCTCAGTCCAGGAGGCCACAGGCAAGCAGGGCATATGCCAGAGAAAGCAATTAATCAAGCTTGGAGCCTGTGTTGATTCCTGAGCCCCCTCCCTGCCAACAGCCCTGCATGTGGGGGCCAGGAGGCTGGGGGGGGGGGTTTGCTCCTGCCCCGCCCACCTGGCAGACAACTGTGGCGCTCAGCCACCAGGCTTCTCAGGACAGCTGTAGGGCTAACATTCTCACCCGCTGCATGGTGGGTTGGGAGCAAAAAGGGGGAGAGAGGTGCTGGAGGGGTCCGATGGGAATCCTGGGTCAAGGGTATCAGTGAGGCTTGGATGGAGCAGGGAGGATGGTAGGCTGTGAACCAGACAACCACCCACTGGGGGAGCTGGAGCCCATCCCTTCCCTCCTCCCTCATCCCAGTCTCCTCCTCAAGTGCCAACGTGATAAATTTGAACCACCGTATTTGGCAGAGATGTTTTGGGGGCTCTGTAAGCATCTGATTCTAACTTCACTTTTCGAAAATGTATTTTAAACTATTTTGAAAACTGTAGTAAAAATAACAGACACTCTCAAATGTGTTCTCTACCCAATTTTAACACGGGCACAGCCCCACTGTCACATGGACTTCTGGTTTGCTGAGGAGTATTCCAGGGATG